ACAAGCGGGTGTTAATATTAAAAGCGTGTTCACAACACACCACCATTGGTAAAGGGGAATAGCTCAGCCTAAATTCAATAGCAGGTTTTGTAACAAGTCTTTTCACTTTGAACAGGGATCATGCAGGTGGTAATGTGGAACTGTTGTCCATAAAACCTGGTCTATTGGTATATGGTGCTGATGCACGTATACCTCAAATAAATTATGTAGTAAAGAGTAACGAAGAATTTCAGGTCAATACAACTTTTAAATATATGTACATGTGTAGATTCAACTCGAAACTAACCGGTACTACTATAGGTGGGCTCTTTAACAGTCAAGGGTTTACTCACCGTCGGGCATACCAAGGGAAGCGTATCATACTTCATCCAAGATGGAAACGAGACGGCAGTATTTACAGGCGATACATTGTTCGTTGGTTAGTGCCGAGCCCACCAGTTCATCTTTGCCAAATATCTTCTTACTCTAGACCGAATATAGCTGGATGTGGGAAGTTTTTCGAAGGGACCGCTGAAGATATGTACAATTCATTGTGCAATGTTTTGGCTACCCTACCATCCGAGACAAAGGTGTACTGTGGGCACGAATACACACGGGCAAATCTTAGAGTGAGCTTGCACATCCAGACCATTATCTGTTATCCATCTTAACCTTGCTTCTGATTTACCAGTTCGCACTCTCCATAGAACCTAACAACGCAGCTCTGCTGGTAAGTCGAGTGACGAACAAAGCTGATGCGACGATTCTGATCCGTTTTGTAGAACAAGATAACCTGGTGTCAATCCAACCTCATTACAGTTCCTAGTACAATTGGCGAGGAGTTGATGTTCAATCCATTCATGCGAGTTCAGTAAGTATCCACGAGTGAGCCTTTGCGAGGAGAGCTTCTCTAACAAACTTGACAGTGAGCCAGCAATTCAGCAGCACGTAGGCTCTACCAATCCTGTCGAGGTCATGTCTGCGTTGAGAGAGATGAAAAACTCCTTTCAATAATTATACAAAGCTACCACAGCCAGTCAACACCCTGTTGTGTTGTTTTTTGTCAATTTTTTCATCGTTATACATATATTTCTTTGCACTATGAATCTTTGTGTGTTTCTTGACATTAATCCGAATCCTATTTATAAACCCTGGGTTCATGAGTCTTAGCTCACGCTGTCTATTTGAAACTGGTGATAGAGGGTTCTGGTACTAAGCGGCCATTATTTGGAAATTGGAAATTGGAAATCTCCTTTTAGTAACACCAATGTACTCTGGGGGCTATGATCAGCCATCAACAATGATCTACTCCACAACTTCCATAGCCCTTAGCTCGACCAATGAATGGCCAGCAGGTTTATTGATTTGTTCTCAGCTAGATTTCCACAGTGTGAATATGAAGTGGATTACAAGTCAGTTAAAACATGCTCCAACCATTGTTACACCGTATTGGGATATCGTTAAACCTTCAACTAATGCAGAAGAGAACTTGCCATTCAAAATAGTTTATAACATGTGTAAAAATGCCAGAATTATGTATCTAAGCTACTACAAAACTTCACACAGAGATAGCAATGGTGTAGCTCCTTGCTTATTGCAGCTACTTATGAGCCACACTCAGAGCACCAATTTATACTACGTATAGTGAGAACTACTATCTTTTACATAAACTGAAAGATATAGGCGCTACATCCTAATGCACTGTAAAATTCGGTTTTGAAATCATCATATTTTGGTTAAGGTCTATCGTGGTCGTTAATCGATTCGTTACGTACCTGAAGAGTAATGCCTTTAAAGAGTACGGAATTAGATAACGTGTATGTTATCTCGTAGATTCGATGGAGTAGTGTAAGAATATCTCTTCAAAGTTTAGGATGGTGACTAGTAGAAATATATTCAAAATAATATTCGTTTCTACCGCTCTTCCTGCTTCTAACCAAACTTCTCCCTTTATTTGATTGTTTGATTGGTATTTATACCTTATTGTGAGTCTGGTGATTTGTCTTGTTTTGCTTTTCCCTGGCTGCTAAGTCGTCTTTGTACGCGTTGATGTCACTTGACATCGACTGACTCCTTACTCCATAACAAAATATAGAGGCGCCGTTAGTACAGTGGTAGAATTGAAGCTTCCCAAGCTTTAGCCCCGGGTTCGATTCCCGGACGGCGCAACGTCTTCCTTTTCTTTCCTCGATGGCAAACCTCAGCTCGATGCAGTTTCTCCGATATTACTCTGATTTTTTAGAGGAGCTTCTGAATTTTCAATAAAAGGAATCATGTTGCAGGATCAGTAAGTCTTCATGTTTTTAGACAATTTCCAACTATTTGTCAGCCTACTTTTGTCAATCCTTTTGGTTTAGCATGATTTCCTATTTGGATGGATAATGGTCCCATATAGCATGCTCGTTAGGGTTTCCGGAAATCTAGTGTGAAATATCGAGGTCGAGTAACAACTTGATCTAGCATACCAGGTTGGTAAGGGGAAGATTGACAACAAGAAAAAAGAAGTGGGTCTGTTTTGTCCAATATATCTCATTATATCATCTTCATACTAACTTTGCCAAATTTTCCTCGCATATTCTAAACACCGTCCAAACGATTGAATACCCAACTTTAAATAGCAGTAAATTTGAACGTCGATTTATCAGTAATAGCTATATATAAATGCCTTTTGTTCTCCTGAATACAAATATATCAGTATCATCAGCTGGTAAAGCTACTCAACATTCATGTTCACCAGGATTTCAACAAACCTCGTTTGTAATTCGCCTCATCTAGTGAATAGAAATACGTCAATGCATTCCTTCTCTCTGTCAACCTTTCTAATGAGTACATACTCTGATCATGACTATCTATTGTCCATGCAGTAAATATGAAGCTTTATTAAACAATACGTGTGATTACAAGAAGTCTGGTTTGTGCGTTGATACAGTATTTTGTACAATATTAGGATGTTTGCTGGCTCATACGTTTAAAAATCTCGAAAATTTTACATCAATGCTGCTGTGATGTGGAATTTAACTGAGGTCAAGTATTATTGAACAAAGCCTACTAGGTAGAAGTAGCCAAAATCAGCTAGCAATGAAAAGCAAACCTCAAATCATCTTTATCAATAGGATAGGACTGGTGATATTCATGATCTCCACTGAAAGGAACATCGCGCAAACCTGGCCATATATTAATTGTTTATTTCAGAGAACTAAAAATCAATACAGAGGCGCCGTTAGTACAGTGGTAGAATTGAAGCTTCCCAAGCTTTAGCCCCGGGTTCGATTCCCGGACGGCGCAAATCATTTCTTTTTTGAACCAATACTGTGGTAATTTTCCAAGGATGTAATGATTTGTATACCCATGGCTTCATTTTTAGAATGCGTATTCACTACATGTTTCAACACTAGAAGAATCTTTACCCATCTGAAATTATGCTCCTTATACAGTAATATTTTTGGAAATACAATAGTCATGTCCCTGATATTTTATCTTACACCATACCTCTCAAACTGGATTGCTGCCAATATGAGAACTGTTAACCTGATGATTATCATTATCTGCATTGATCCTCTCACTCTTGATTGTTTTTTGCAATTACAAACTTCTTGAGTTAAAGAATGTACTTCTATCTAAAAGTGAATGAATTCACTATAGCATATTCACATGCGTGCTACATGTCTTTCTTTCCTACAATTAGATTACATTTCCATGTTGGACAGACAGCAACGTTGGGCCTGTTGTGGCAGTATTGGAGATACTGGATTGACTGAGGAGCAAGAAGATTATGTTATTCTTACTTGATGATCTGTTGGGTGTAAAGGTAGTATATATACTTGTACAAGGTTTTGATCGAACAAGCACTTACATAGTAAGGAACAATGCTTCATAGGGAAATGCAAAACTTCTACCATCCAGCAATCATGTGTGGCCTTAAACTTGGGAAACTTCAATTTCTCCGCCTTACTAATGATAAATCTGCACTATTATTGTAGTGGAATCATCCACATGTATGGGTAATCACTGACCAAGGATTACAAATATGCACTCAACCAAATTTGTCATATATCAGACAACTTTCACCGTGGCCTTTATACTGCAAAAATTGGGCACACATTGCGAGTTTACTGTTGTAAATATTCAGTTTACACCTATACCATTCATGTAACGCAAGATTCTACTTCGCTTATTGCTAAGCTATGAGTTATTTACTTAAGACTTCGTTTATGAAATATTGGCTAATTCTTGGAATTAGTGAAGGTCAAGTGCAAGTTACCTATTCTGAGACAAAATTGGTGGAATAATATGCACAAATCTTGGTCAATGACGAATTTCAGACATAGACAACTTCATCATGCCAACAATGCAGCCGTATCATTCGTTTTCCCTTCATCAAGATACTCCTAATATTACTTTGATGCTTTTCTAATTACTCCAAATCTGCATTGCATATTCCAAGCTTTAGAAGATTTAGAAAGTTTTGAGTAATTTAATCCTTGACCAAAAGCACCAATAAATTCGCAATCGCCAACGTTCCCTATTTTCTCATATTCGCAAGTGGATCCATATATGTAGAATACAATTACTATCAGTGTAAGCAGAAAATATAGACCTATATATGCACAAAGGGAGTCCAGTGTTTATAGCTGAAGCGTTTCATTCGACATTCAGGTGAACCGTTCTTTAGCTTAAGAATTCTGTAACTCTAACCAAGTGCGAAGATGCCTGGATGAATACGCAAACTAGATTTGTTGAAATACAGTTAACCAGGATTAACAAACTTTCAATTATCATATTGGCAATTAATGGATTTGAGATCAGCGGTGTTAAATCGAAGTTAGGGAGATGGCCATCTCATGCCAGGAAAGACATATATATAATACACAGTGTTGGTATATACATGTGATGAATAACTTTTCTAGGATTTATTGACACCTCAAGCCGAGGATCCCACTCTCAGTAACCTCTAAAGTTTCACAAAATTGGAATGCGTAACAGAGAATTGAGGAATAAGAATGTGAAAAATAAAGGGGTTTTGCGCCGTCCGGGAATCGAACCCGGGGCTAAAGCTTGGGAAGCTTCAATTCTACCACTGTACTAACGGCGCCTCTATATTCGTGTAATTCTTGGGCATTTCTTGCCATTCATCCCATGCACATCTTCCTTTTCTCCTTCCCAATATTATGGTTATTCTTATGATTCTAACCTTGCAACTATTGCCTAAAACTCACACTTACTCACAATATTGAGTGTTAAAGCCACATAAACTCTTTCCTTTTGGTTCACGCGCACTCCGTCAATTTCCTGACGTTATCTCTTTCTTTTATCCCATCTGGTTGGCTATTTGCTCTGATTGTAGTCGTGTTGTATTTGTTGTAGGTCAAGTTATTGCGCTCCTCCCCATCAACAGACACGAAGGCCTAGTTTGTGAGAGTACCGCACCCAACTCGATCCTTGAATCTTCAATTTATATACGGCCTAGTGCTTAATCGACGACTTCCTACACGGAACCATCCTCACATAGGTGCTTTTAGATAAATTGTGAATAAAATGCGTTGTAAGGAGTGGTTGGGATGGATGGGGCCAACATATACTCCATGCGAAATCCCATCACATGTGGGATCACCCATGATTTCGGCGGAATTGGTGGACATCTTGTGATTCGCCTCGTCCCCCGCCGTGAATCGAAGTATGGGATCACGTATTCTACTCAGCCGAGGAATTTCTTTACCATTTAGGTGCCGCATTTCGAACATTCCACGTAGGTAGGGTCTTGTTGACGAGGTGGTGAAGATTTATTCTACAACAAATATAAATACTATGTATAAAAAAAAGATGGGAATCACTTAACGGAGGTGTAGAGATCTTGAAGATGAATAAATCACTGTTTCTAAAAACTGTTGGTGTCAAAGATAAAGGAATAGAAGGAAAATTGAGGGAGGGTCGGGGTGGAGTGAGCCGAAGATCGAGAAGTTCATTTTAAAATTCCTAAAATGACAAAGAATAGGTTAGATCGGATCATTCAAACACATCGTACCAATGGAGACTTACCCAATCCTCATCAACGTCCATGGCCCACTTGAACTTTTCTCTCAAACTCTTGTTGAAAATCTTCTCCAAAGGCACATCGTACTTCTTGCACCAAGCAGCAGAAATACGAGGGTCGATGTAGTTGATTTTCGAGGTACCAAGAGCAGTAGTCTTGTTCTCATCCTTGTCGACCATCATGGTCTTCGTCGTCAGAATCCTTTCGGTAAGTTTACTGATGGCGGTCTCAAGTCTTTCAACCGTAGCATTCTTCTTGATAGCGTAAACTTCCCCAGTTTTCTTTTCTTGCTTCAGCTCCTTGGCCTTCTCGTCAACCTTGGAGAGTAATTCCTTCAGTTCAGATTGTGGTAGTG